GCTTGCTTTCTGTCTGTCTCTGCTGTTCCCTTGCTGTGTGAACTTGGAGAGCAGCTCAACTCCTTCATCCTTTTGTTATTTGTAAAGCTCATTGAGTCCTGTGATTGGAAAGTGGTTTAGAAATGTTAAGTGGGGTCACTGCTGAAACAACTAGACATACCTTTGCTGTTATTAAACTTGGCGTCAAGTATTGTCCAAGGGTCTCTAAGATGGAAAGGGCTTGCTATTACTCTGGGTAAATGTTTGTGCTTCGGTGAACATTCATGATGCAAGCACGTTCCCAGTGTCTCGGGTGTGATTACAGCTGCGGTGGAGATCTAGCAGCTCCAAGCCACATTTGACCTGCTATGAAGAGCTGGAAACTTGCTGCATTTCAAAAGGCTGCACATAGCAGCCCATGAGACAGGGAGTTGCAGAAGCAGCTGTGCTTGTGCTTTAATACTCTTTGGGGTCTGTTTCTCAGCAAAACAGAGACCCATAGGCATTGTCAGACAAGCTATTTTTCTAGAAAGGACCTAAGCCCTCCAACAGAAGGAGACTTTATTGCCATCAAGTGCAGGCAGGACAGCTGTGGTGGCTGTGCAGCTCCAGAACGCAGCCCTTCATATTTCTCTTCTCTCAGGGCAAAACCTGCCCAAGCCACATGGTTTAATTCTAATCTCGTCAAATACAGACTTCCCCCAAACCATGCTCCCACTGTTTTGCAGTCGTATCTATTATCATACCATATTCGATGCTTTTTTTGCCAATTTTGTAAGTAATTCCAGAAGAGGAATGGTTCCTCCTAGTGACGCACACAAAAGAGCCTTCCTCTTCTTTCAGGGAAGTGGTTGAGTCACCACCCCCGGAGATCTTCAAGAAACATGTGGATTTAGAATTTGGTAGCATAGTTTAGTGGTGGACTAACTAGCTTAAAGGTTGGATTTACAAGCTTAAAGGTTAAACTAGATGATCTTAGAGATCTTTTCCAACCTGAAGGATCCTATGATTCTATAATTCCAGGAGTGAGTAGACCCTGAGGCAAGCTGCTTCAGGGTCAGATGGTGAAGGGGACAGCAGTGCATATGGACAGAGGGTGGCTCAAGCCATCTGTGAACCCCTGGGATTTTGATCATGGTTTTCTCTGAAATCATAGCCTACAACATGTTGCTGGCCCTGACTTCTGCATGTCTTCACTGGTATGACAGCACAGGGGATGAGTGAGTGCAGTGAGTGAGTCTTCAAAAGCATTTTCTTCTTCCTTGTGTTTTTTGTTTGTTTGGTTGGTTGGTTGGTTTTGTTTGTTTTCCACAAGATGAAGAGTAGGATTCATTGATGCTCGTAGTTAGGAGGTGTTAAAAGTGAGACTGAACGCCTTTGGCTCCAACAGATTGCTAATGCTCTGTTAAATACTCTCCTACAAAGTCAGCAGTGCAGCTCTGCATAGAACTCAGAGTCTGCAAAAATACAGGGCAATTTATGTAGGAGAACCCAAATGACTTGCCAGGTGTTTCAAAGGCAAGCAAGGAGTCTCCCCTGGTTCAGGTAAAATGCTAAAGTAGGGGAGTATAAAGGAAGAGGTAAGATATGGGGGAGATGTGATCACCTGGAATCTGTTACGCACAGCACATCTGGTGTTTCTCTTCAGGCTCTTAAAAAATAACAACAATAAAGATTCTGGGAGGACTGATGCTACTGACTCACCTGCTGCAAATAACAGTGGAAAGCATTGTCTCATTATTTTTTTATTTATTTATTTTTTGGTGGATGTTGCCTTACTTGACTTCAGCAAGGCTTTCAACACTGTCTCCCATAACCTCCTCATAGGCAAGCTCGGGAGATGTGGGATAAATGAGTGGGACAGTGAGGTGGACTGAGGAATTGAGAACTGGCTGGATGGCAGAGCTCAGAGGCTTGTGGCTGAGTCTAGTTTGAAGCCTGTATCTAGCGGTGTCCCCCAGGGGTAAGCACTGGGTACAGTCTTCTTCAACTTAATCATCAACGACGTGGTTGATGGAACAGAGTACACCCTCAGCAAGTTTGCAGATGACACAAAACTGGGAGGAGTGGCTGATACCCCAGAGGGCTGTGCTGCAACCTAGCACTGCCAAATCTACCACCAAACCATATCCCTAAGCACAACATCTACATGTCCTTTGAATCCCTCCAGGGATGGTGACTCAACCACTTCCCTGGGCAGCCTGTTTCAATGCCTCACAACCCTTTCAGTAAAGAAATTTTTCCTAATACCCCACCTAAACCTCCCCTGGTGCAATTTGAGGCCATTTCTTCCTGTCCTATCACTAGCTGTTTGGGGGAAAAGCCTGCCCTCCACTCTGCTACATCCTCCTTTGATGTTGTAGAGAGTGATAAGGCCTCCCCTGAGCCCCTTTTTCTCCAGGTTAAACAACCCCAGCTCCCTCAGCCGCTCCTCAGAACACTTGATCTCCAGACCCTTCCCCAATTTTCTTGTCCTTGTTTGGACAAGCTCCAGGACCTCAATGTCCTTGTATTGAGGGGCCCAAAACTGAACACTGTACTCAAGGTGCGGCCTCACCAGAGCTGAGTACAGGGGCACAATCACCTCCCTGGTCCTGCTGGCCACACTATTTCTAACACAAGCCAGGATGCTGTTGTTTTCTTGGCCACCTGAGCACACTGCTGGCTCATATTCAGCCAGCTATTGTCCAACACCTCAAGGTCCCTTCCCACCAGTCAGCTTTCCAGCCACTCTCCCCCTAGCCTGTAGTGTTGCATGGGGTTGTTGTGCCCCATTTGGAGGACGTGCACTTAGCCTTGCTGAACCTAAAACCAATTGAACCACTTCCTTTTCATGCCTTTCCCCTGCTCAAGCATGGGTTTCTCTCCACGGGCTGCAGTCCTTCAGGATAAACCTGCTCCTGCAGGGGCTCCTCCATGGGCTGCAGCCTGGAGATCTGCTCCATGTGGGACCCATGGGCTGCAGCCCCCAGCACCTGGCCACAGACACCCAGTACAGCCATGCAGCTTGTCTTACTGAGCACTTTTTTTATCAAATGATCAAAAGCTGAATAGTTTTTTCCTTACTTTTTCCTCCTGGCAGCTCACAGCAGGAGGTGCACAGAGGGCTCTCCAGGCCTGGGGGATTTCTGACTCAGGGGACCTGACCAAGTCCTGTTTATCAGCCTTCCCATCCACTCATTTCTTTAATCAGCAGACTTTGCACACTGTGTTTTGGACAGCAGAGGTGTTTGTAGCTAGCTGCATTTCATCTTCAAGACCTAGAAAAGCTTTTTAATTTTTATTTTTTTCTTTGTAGGAGTTCATGTAACTCCCTTTGGAACCTCATCCTTCAGCAAGACAACTTCAGATTTGTGAACTGAAACATTTTCTGTATAATAAATTTTACAGTAGAGAAGAAAAGATAGGCATATGAGGTTTCAATTAAAGAACATTTGAACTGCATTTCTCTGCAAACAATAGGAATAATTTCCTCCTCAAGGTTAGCATTTCTACAATTTAAACTTTAGAACAAAGAGCCAAGGAAATAAAAGAATTTCTGCACGTGGTGCTACCCAAGCCACGGGGGTGACTGCATATCCAAGAACATGGAGTAACTCTGGAGGAGGATGCAAACAGACTGAAGGAGACACATTTGCTTTAAGATACCTTGCCTTTGTGCACAGCTGCGGAGCAGCCTTGGCCAGGCTGGACCAGCCTTTCTGCTGACATGACTGCTCAAGTCAGCAGTGTTTCAGCAGCAGACGACTCGGCACATGGTCTTTAATGGCTGTTTCACAGGTCAAAAGTCTTTGTAATTTGGGTATAAAACAACTGTCTGCTCTGCTGAGGGGTTGTTATGTGTACAGCAGTGTAAAGATGACAAATGTTCCAGGTTTTCCTGTTCCTGCACCGAGTACAGCAGTCTTTTGTTGAATTTTTAATGTGGCTTATTATTTAAGCAAAGGTCAAATGTTTTTTCTAGAAATCCATGTATCCTGCAGGTATAATACTTTAAATTATGACCTCTATGCAAGTAGTCCTAAAGACAGAGCAAAATTTAACATTGTTTTCTTAGAGCCAAAAGGTATATTCTTCCTATGTCAGAAAAGAGGATTTCCTTTTCCAACCTGCACTTTTCTCCTAGTGGATTTTCAGTAAGAATAACAAAAAAAAAAAAAAAATCTCTCCTTTCTTGCACACATTTAAGAAGCCTAAGTATTAAAAATACTGGAAACTTGGACGTGCCAATTATTTTAATAATGTTATCATTTCCCTGCAGGCAGCACCTAAACAGTATTGTGTTGTATTGTATCTTTTTAAAATAACAGAAATAAAAATTATAGCCCTTTTCTGAAATCCTGTGTATTTCTTGCTACTACCTTTGCTCATTTTCTCAAGTAAAATCTTCATCCTTCTGCAAATGTTCAAGTCCAGACATAGTGTAATCTTTTGCTCTTCTTAAGTTCCTACTCAATAGATAAAGACGACACTCCAACTTTGCCTTTTTCAAATGTTAAGAAAAGATTGATTTCCTTATATCTACAAGGAGTCTAGGATGTGATTATTCCCTAAATGGCAAATGCAGGAGGAAACCGAACTGGTAGAAAAAAGGTGTTGATAGAGGTCAATATAAACTGGAAACCTTGGCAACCAAAAATTCAGTATGAGAATATGATTGAAGTGGATGTAAGAGTTAAGGCAGAATTATTTTTTTCAGTTTACTATTCAAATGTCGGAGTGTAATCTAAGGAAATGCTTGTGGGAAATCTTTCTTGGGTGGGAAAATTTGGTGCAATGCACCACTGAAGCCTGCTATTGCTCTTTACTCTGAGAACCAGAGTAAAGTACTCTGTAAAGTACCAGTACTCTTTATTCCTGTGTAACCATTTGTACTGGAGAAAATCCATGTAACTTAGTCCAAGTTGCAATGTGAATATGTTTTTGTAGATTATAATTGCTAATACAAGCTTGGTCTGCATGCCACAGTTCACATACATTTTTTATGAACTTATAATTAGGGCAATTTTGGTCTCCTGCAGGTTCCAGCTTTGCAAATGAAGAGCAAACCACTCCTAAGGCATCTGCACCTTCTAAAGATGCACCCAAGGGTAGCAGCAAGAGCACAACACAGGTATCGAGCAGCACAGCGACTCCACGCAGGAGCTTACTTCCTGCACCAAAAACTGCCACTGCACCTGCTGGTAAGTGTTGCAAACTTGTGTACCTGAAATACCATCTGTCTTAGCCCAAGAAATACAGAAACCTTATCATGATACTATTTTACTGCTTACTCACTTCGTTTTCATGCCATTATTGGGCACATTGTCTAAGTGCCCAATTTGCTGTAGTTGCCATTCTTGTCGTCAGGACAGCACAAGAAGCTAAAAGTCTTTGACTCAGCACAAGCACTGCTCTGCAACAGCTAAAACATCAGTGTGTTATCACACAACTGAAGCTGGGAAGGAAAAATCAGTACAAAATATAAGACAAAGACCTTTTGCACTACGAGTTTTGGTCACCCGGTTTCCAGAAAGATTAACTTGGTTGAAACACATGCAGAAAATAACTTACTGCTGTAATCAGTAGCTTGGAGAATCTGTCAGGGAAGATGAAGCTGAAACCCTTTGTCTTTGGTAGTCCAGCTAAGCGAAAGTCAAGGGAGTGGGCTGTAATATTTTGTCAATCACATTCAGGAGTGACTGTCTCTTACTGTCAGAAAACTGTTTAGCTCCATCATCTACACTCACTAACTGGGAAACAGACCAATCTGTCAACACAATATATGGATTTCTGATGACTTTTTTTTTTCTTTTTTGCATTTTTCTTTCTTTTTTTTTTTTCTTTTCCTGTGATTTTTCTTTCCTCTCTGATGGTCCCCAGCTAAGTAGTGTCATTTCAGGCTACAGCTGTAGTTGAATAGCATAAGATTTGCACCTACATATCTCCAGCAAAAGCCTTTCTTTTCCAGCTAGTGATAATGACATGATAAGCTTTAAAGGACTATTTCGAGGTTTCTGTAGAGGAACTTTTCTGGCCTCCTTTTTTTTTTCTTTTTTTGCTACAAGCAAGAAGACTGCTAGAAATCCTGTGCCTTTTACTACTTGTGTAGCTTCACAAGTGAGTCATTGCCAGGGAGGTTTCATTGTTGGGGCACTGCCATGAGCTGGAACCAGAGCATTTGGTGTGCAATCATGCTAGTGTGGACATGCAAAATCTAGTCTAGGCAGGACTAGCTAAATGGCTCAGGCTGTCAGCTCTGAGTTTGCACAGCTTCCAAGTCTCAGACCCACACAGAAGAGCAGAAATTGCAAAATAATGCAGACCAATATTGATCAAGAGGGAGGTTTCCAGAAAAATAGATGGTTTGCCATCACATTGGGGAAAAGAATTACTGAGGGTGGCTGAAAGCTACATTTTACTTTTAATTTTAGTTTTTAATCTATGAAATTGCTTAATTTATGAAACAAATGACCAATCTAGTGCTAGATTTTAATTCCTCTAGAGACAAAGCTAAAAAATAAAAGGCAATACAGAATTGAGAATATTATAAAAATTCTCCCATTTTCTGCTATCCAAAGAACTTTTGTTTTCTGTATCATCACTCAGTCTCAGTGTACTTTCCTTCAGACCATTTGTTATTCTCTCTGCATGACCCTCCATTAACCATGGGTATGTTTGTTTCCGTGGGGGCACACAAACGAAAACTTCAAGCTGGCCGTGCATGAACTTGTGAGCCTCAGCCCATGTAAAGAGCTCTTACTGCTATACTGTGCCTGAGTTAATAGGCCCTGTGGAGACAAGGCAGTATAGCTCCTGAACTGGATTTACTTCCCTCCAGCCTGCCAAGTGTGATGAGTCCTCGTGTCTGTGGGTGCATGGGTCCATACAGGTGTGCCCTGTGTACTCTTCACTGCTCTGGTGGGCAGGGGCTCCAGTGGCATACCCAGCTTCCTCCCAGCAAGGCACTTTGTGCCAGCAAAGTCTAATCCTGCTTCTCTTGCAATAATGTATGAGTTCTGTCTGCAGATCCCACTGTAATAGGGAGCCCTATAGAATGTACAGTCTTCTCTTTAAATATTGTTTGGACAATTTTGCACAGCTTTTAAATGATGAAGCACAAAACCATCTCCTTAAAATTGAACTCTTCGTTAAATTGGAAGGAAGATGCTACAGATCAAATGAAGCAAGTGGATAAAGGGCAGTGAAGTGTTCATATTGCTTTGGGCTTTATGATCCCAGGCAAACAAAGGAATCTAACAAAAGCCCTTTACAACTGTGTAGACACCGTGTTTTAAATATGTCAGAGAGAGTGCATGGGTGTGCTGAAAAGGCCAGTCTCCAAAAGGATGTCCTGGAACAGATAAGGTCTAAAGGTTGAAAGACTGTTTGTACAGATACTGTGGAAGGTCTGCTTGTACTGCCTTTGCAAAGTGGAAAGAACAACAGCTGGCACAGGCTACCAGTCTGCTGAGCAAGTCTGGCATTAGAGCTGGACATCACAGAGCAGAGGACTGATTAAAAAAAAAAAAAAAAAAAGGAGCAGAGAGGTAAAATCAGTGTTTCAAAAAAGCTTGAAAAGGTACTAAAATTAATCCACCCCCCACCCACCACATGTCTCTGACACCTGCATGTTTCCTGTGAAATGAATGCCATGCTCAGGAAGGCAGTCAGTAGCAAAGAAGAAACTTTCACCAGTGCTCCAAGCTGAAAGGAAAGTAAGGGCAGCAAGCAGCAGGCAACTCTAAGCAGAGCAGGGATGAAACGTCTTGAAAACAGCAGAAATAATAAATTTATAATATTCTACCAAGCTATCACATAACGGCAGTTGCTTGCACAGAGAATCCAGAGAATAGGAGAGCAACTATGGTGTAGGAAGATGGAACAATATAAGAGAAAATGCTCAAGATATTCTTAAATTAATGGAACTACAGATTACCTTGTTCCTGTGGTGCCCCGTGTTGGATGCCCCTGTACTGAAAGTAGTCTTTGTTCTCAAAGGGAATGCAAGTACAAGAGATCCGGATTTGAGTTTTGAGGCTAGGTGTAGAGTGTGACTTTCCTGGTACTTTCATTTAAATACTGGATCCAGGAGCATCTAAGGGAAGATTCAGTGTCAGCAATACATCTCAAAAAAGTCTTAGCTGGACATGGGTTTAGTCTTATGTTTTATCATGTCCATGGTTAGCATACATCAACATTATGTATAAGATATCCAGCACCATGATGCCAGAGTAGCCTTAGAGGATAAAAGTGTAGGTGGTTAGCCCCTTCCTGGGAAGGAAGGCCTCAGCCTTGTGAGCCTGCTTGTAGCTTACCTTTTATTTGCAGCTGGCTCATGAGGACAACACCTGCAGAAGGATGATTGGTGAGGCACATGTCTAGCTTCCACCTCAGCACAGTTTCTCCACAGCAAAACAGGCAGTAGCCCAGACCCCCGTGGAGTCATGGTTGGAAGGAACAAAACCACCACAATTTCCTTTTCCTTTTTCACCCCGTGGCAGAAGAAGCCACTGCACAGAGGCTGTGATGGAGGAGAGAACGATGGTCTCTGCCATGGGTGGTCCAGGGATGAGTGCTGAGTAGAAGATGTTAGCTGGGGGTGAAAGACATGCACTCTCTTAGTACCATGTACCCCTTTGTATTTAGTGGGGAGAGTCCCTGCCTCCAGCAGGAAGGATTTCTGACACAAACCAACACCATTGTGAAAGTAAGGCATACATTCCCATAAGAGAAAGTGAATAAATAGCATGACATATGGGTGAATCTTGCATTAAATAAGAAGTCACCAGCTCCATTCAGTCAACATCGGAAGGCCAAGTTGTCCCATGAGCAACGCTACCCAAGTCATCCGTATAGTAAAACTTTTGAAAAGCAGAGAAAACACAATATCTTATTTGTGCTCTGTGTATGTGGAGAATGGTACAATAGATATCCTAGGTATAATACTCTTAACAATCACCTAGTAATAATTGCAGTAGAGCTTGATATTGCATACACATTTTATAAATACATACTTCAAACCTCCTGTGCAAGATATCGTGGTTACTAAACTAGGGTTTTTAGAGTGATCCACTGCTACAGCTAAAGTGCACAGACATTATATATGTGTTGTATTCAGCATCTTTTATGAAAGTAAAGAGGATGGAAAGTATTTCATAAAAAGGATTGCAGTCTTTTAAATACAAAGAAAGTTTCCGAAAGAGTGGAGTCTCAGGTGATGTAAGAAATGCATTTGTATTTCGAAGAGGTACATGATTTTAACTATGTATGAGTAAGAAATGAATTCAAAAAGGAGCATATCTACCTGTACTGATGAGTAGAAAATAACAAAAATCACATTGAAGCTTTAATGTATTAGATATTACCTGAGTAGAGCACCTGTGCTGCAAATTCTCATTAAAAAAAAAAAAACTTCTCAAGAGAGATTATATTCCTGATATAGCACTCAGTTTGCTTGACAAAGAAATTGGACTAGAGCATAGATCACCTTTAATTAATTAAAATGGATTCTTATAGTTGCTGCTTTGCAGTGATTCAGATGATCAAAAAAAACTCTGGCAAGAGACAATAGCAGTGGTAATTCATTGTCATGAAAATTGTTTTGAAAACATGAACTAAATGGTTTTGACTGGTCTATGGAAGAATTGCAGTTAATTAGCATTCAGTGTCTTGCACAGCCATTTTTTTTGTGTGTTATCAGACCCCTTTTCAATTTGCATACTTGTCAACATATAGAAGATGGGAAAACAAAAACAAACAAAAAAAAAAACACATTATACTTGAGAGGAAAAACTGAGATAGATCTTTAATTTCATTTAAACTTCTTAACTGTTTTGAGAAATGCAGTGATAACCCAACTAGTGCTTACCATTTCTGTTACTGCTTCATATTCTGTTTAAAGCCTTAGGTGGATGTAGCTCTCCATCTGGAACTTTACACCAAGTTCCACCTTAGAAAACATACAGTCTTCCTCCTTCCACACATTGATAAAAATATGTGATCTTTGAGGCACACACATACTGCATTTTCTGTTTTAAATTTATCTGAAAATGTGGAAATATCTGCAGAAAGAAATGTTCGGAGACAGCAGATGAACAATTTCTCACCCTTTGGGGGATCTGTTTTACAAACCCCATAGTTTAATGGTCACCGTGGGACAATTCAGATTCTAAATCAAACCATGACCTAATTCTGTCATAAT